TGCTAGAAGAAACCATTTCAAATAATCCTATCACGACAAATTGCAATCCCCTTGAAATATGGCAGCTCCTGGTCGACAAGCGTAGCTAGCTACGATAAGCGGAGCTCTTGGAGGGGGATGATTACCTGCGGCTTAGGTTCCGAACCTCAAACTTTGGAAGCGGCACAACGATTGCATTCACAGACCCTTCCCACCAATGCACGTAGGGTTGCTTCATTTGCGTCAACGTGGGAAATTCTTCCAACTTCATCTGACCAGGCTGCACAATCAGTAACTCAGAGAAGCGTATTTCGTCTTTCTTCTACCTTCTGCTTTGCTCTAAAAATGTAGCGTGTGCTACTTGGATACTGCCATAATCATGAAGATTCCAAGCAGATTTCAAGCACTATCAGGAAAAAAAGCTTAATTTCTACTGCAAAAAGAGGGAGCGTACTGTATGCAACTTTTTCAGGCGTGTTGGTCATATACCGTTTCGAGACCCAAAATCGAAATGGTGAGTCCTACCGTTCCATATGAAAGAAGTTGTTAGGAAAATGAAGATATTCGACTTCAAGCCTTGCGCAGCACATAGAAAGCTGAACACTCGACTGGTATTTCAAATCACTGCGTAACTTCTGAATGCGAGAGAAGCTCAACACTTTGTCAAAAATATTGTTGAGAGTGAGCCTCAGATCATTAAAATCCACAATTAGAGGTATTCGATGAGAGGAAAAGAGGGGATGATGTGAGAAGCGGCATGATTTACTGAAAACCACAATATAAACTGCCATCGAAATCCCCCTAGTTATTCAGGGCTGTAACGAAGGATGAGTGGAATGGGACAAGCTATCCTACCTGCTGTGATGGATGGTTTTATTTGGCCTCTGTTTCAGTCGTGAAACGGATGCTCGACGTGGTTCATCTCCAACGCTTTTTCTGGGTAATTATTTGCTGAGCAAGCTTTTCTATGTCTTCTTTAACCATTTGACAAATCGATTTCTTTCTAATGAAGATATCCATTACCTTCCTTCTTTAGATTGATGACGTTTTCATCACTGGTGTACTCACGGAAGC